AATGCACCAGCCTGCATAAGTGTCACTTCGATATCGATGACTAGGTATATGTATGTGGCATATCAACTTATAAACTTTTAACTAACTATTGCATAAATGTACATTTGTTGTTTCGAATGCCGTGGATCTTCGGTCGACCCACTGGCACTGTCTGCCAAAGTTGCAGAAAGTAAAAGTAACTTACTTGTATAGTACTTACGTACATGTATGTATGTACGAGTACTTGGGTGAAGCATTGCCTTGCCACCATCATCAACACGTGAGTGTTTCCGACAAATGCTCATTGATGCCGGTTGGGAGTTTTTGCTGCTAGTGCATCTTGCGCTGTCATTTGGTGTTGTTTCGATTTTCTCACCATCCAGTGCAGCAGCAGCGTAGTTAGTGTAACAATTTGCATTTTACTTACATATGTACATAGTTTATGTTTGCTCTGTGGCACAGTTGCTGAATGATTCGCCTGAATTTGAGCGATGGCCCGGAGTATGTTTACTTTAAGGCGATTGCCGATTGTGGCTTCTTGGCAGGCACCTACGACTTCAAAAACCCCACAAGTAGATAGATATCATCCACGACCATATCCACCCATATCGCTCAATTTGGTCCAAAATAAGAAAGGTATTCATATAGGTCTGCAGGTCTCGCCGTCGTTTTCGGAAAAACACCGAGCAATAACGCCGCCACACAGTGCGGCCGAAATCCAAAAGTGCGGCCAAAGTTCGAAACTTTATAGACTTTTTTTCGCAAAGGGGTTTCGGGGTCGCTAATTACGAATCGGCTGTCAAAATTGCGAAATTCAAAATGGCGGATCCAATTTGGCGTCTGGTCCTGCGAAAAATTTTAAAGTTTTTCTGTGTTCCGAAACTTTGTATGGAAATTTTATCAGGAAATTTAGTGATTGTAAATAAATGTGCGAAAACATCAACAATTTTTGAAATCGTCTTTAAATTTTTTATTAAAATTAACAATACACCAAGTTTTAACAATTTATGTTTTTGCATTTCATTTTCAGAATTTCGAAGTTCAAAATGGCGGATCCAATTTAATGTCTGGTCATGGGAAAGATTTTAAAGTTTTCCTGCGTTCCAAAACTTTGTAATTACCTGGAAATTTAGTAATTGAAAATAAATGTTCCAAAACATCAAAAAGTTTTGAAATCGTCTCAAAGTTGTTTATTAAAATTAATAACATAATATAGTCATAATTATAAGCCCACCACATGCTGACAAGTTTTAACTATTTATATTTTGTTTTTTAAATTTACAGAATTTCAAAGTTCAAAATAACGGATGCAATATGGAGTCTGATCAAGCGAACAAATTCAAAGTTCTCTTACGTTGCAAAACTTTGTAATTACCAGGAAATTTAGTGATTGCAAATAAATGTGCGAAAACATCAAAAATTTTTGAAGTCGTCAAAAAAATGTTTGTTAAAATTATTAATACACCAGGGGTCATAATCATAAGCCCACCACATAATGACAAGTTTTAACAATTTATCTTTTCGTTTATTTTAGTTTAGTTATTTTTTTATAAAAGTATAGTTAATTCTTTAACAAAGACCGAATAAATCCAAGTTTCAAACATTGTGCAATATTTAAAAAAAAAATCAAGAAAATTTCATAAAAATTTCGAGGTTCTTATTTTCTTAAAAATATTTAGAGTATGCAATTTTGTAGCACACTCCATTTTAGTGCAAGTTTGAAGTAGCTAGGACTTACCGTTGATTTTTGAATTTTTTGCTGTTGTTGACGATGTCAGTAATTTTATGTCAAATGAAGTACACAGCTAGACAAAGCGGATCGCTCCGAATATGGAGTGAAAAGGACTCCCACAGAAACACTTCGACGGAGTGTTTTCAGAATGTCATAGGGACTCCCACAGCAACATTTCGAATGAGTGTTTTCGAGGCGCTCCGAATGTAGTGTGAAAAGGCAGCCAAAGTTTTTTTTTCTTTGTATCTAGCCTGTAAGATGAAAATGAAATTTTCGATCAAAAAGGGGGTCATCACTTCCGAATGTTCCTGTTCCAAATGGACAACGCAAAACAGGCAGTTGACGAATGCATTTAGAGGTAAGCAATAACGCATAAAAAATTACTTTTGGCTAATTTTGAAACTTTCTGACAAAGAATTCAATAAAGCGAACACAAAGTTGTTCCACACTGCAAGGGAACGACTTCAAAATAAAAAATTATAATAATAAATATTTTTTGTTTATTTCATTTATTTTTTTTCGTTTTTTACTGAGTAATACGTTAAATCATTTTTTTTTAGCAATACTCGTACATAAAGATATACGAACTTACTTACATACATATACACCTACCAAGGCTACCTGATGGCATCCCAAAAGTGGTCCTGAAGCTGGCAATTAATGCAGTTGTGCTTAGAGCAGGACTGCTTTCCTGACATGTGGAAAATGCAGAATTTACTGTTGCTACCGAAACCGAGAAAACCACCTGGTTTACTTGGATCATATCGGCCAATAGACCTTTTGGACACCATGGGGAAGATTCTAGTCAGAATTATCCTCAATCGTCTTCTTTACATCACTGAAAGCGACAACGGGTTATCGCAACGGCAATAAGGTTCAATCATAACAGCAATAAAAAGGGCTGTGGAAACTATAAAA